ACTTGGACTGTAATTTGCTGGTCAGGTCTGGTCAGGTCTGGTCTGGTCTGTTTGGGTCTGGTCTGGTCTGGTTTGGTCTGGTCTGATCTAGTCTGGTCTGAAATTTTATTTTTATATTTTTTGCATAAAGATTTTGTTTTTTATATATATTATAATCCATAAATAATTATATTTTATTCATTTATGATTACAAATAATAATAACAATAACACTAATAATAAGAATAATAACAATAACAATAACAATAATAATAATAACAACAACAACAACAATAATAATAATTAGGGGTGTGCACTATCCGGTTTAAACCACAAAATCGGACCGAACCGGAATGATATCTGGTCCGATTCGGTACGGTCCGGTTTTGAACTGGACTGGAAAAACCGGAACCGGATCAAACAGGAATGGTATCCTGTCCGGTTCGGTACGGTCCGGTCCGGTTTTGAACCGTTGCACACCCCTAATAATAATAATAATAATAATAATAATAATAATAATTAGGGGTGTGCACAATCCGGTTTAAACCGGAAAAGCGGAACGAACCGGACCGGAAAAACCGGAACCGGATCGAACCGGAATGATATCCGGTCCGGTTCGGTACGGTACGGTCCGGTTTTGAACCGATGCACACCCCTAATAATAATAATAATAATAATAATAATAATAATAATTAGGGGTGTGCACTATCGGGTTTAAACCGGAAAACCGGACCGAACCGGACCGAAAAAACCGGAACCGGATCGAACCGGAATGATATCCAGTCCGGTTCGGTACGGTCCGGTCCGGCTTTGAACCGGTGCACACCCCTAATAATAATAATAATAATAATAATAATAATAATAATAATAATAATAATAATTAGGGTGTGCACTATCCGGTTTAAACCGGAAAACCGGACCGAAGCGGACCGGAAAAACCGGAACCGGATCGAACCGGTATCATATCCGGTCCGGTCCGGTATGGTACGGTCTGGTTTTGAACCGGTGCACACCCCTAATAATAATAATAATAATAATAATAATAATAATAATAATAATAATAATAATAATAACGAAATCTGGTCTGGTCTGATCTGGTCTGTTTTAGTCTAGTCTGGTCTTTTTTGGTCTGGTCTGGTTTGGTCTGGTCTGGTCTGATCTGGTCTGGGACGAGTTACAGTCCAAGTAAAAACAACCTAAATTATATATATCTTAAAATTTATACATTTTAGTGTGCGCATGTTTATCGAGCTTATCGAGCGTTCAAATCGAATATAAAAAATTTGTCAAAGTCAAACTCAAGCTCCATTTTATACCTGATAAATACCCATTTCATTGTTTCTAGCTTATTAATGGTAATTTCCTAAGTATAATATATGATCATTGACATATTAAATTTTTATGAAACTATACCTATAATTAAAGAATTAGACTGGGGTGGGCTCTGGCCCTTGCTATGATCTGCCCTTGAAAAGGATGACACTTCCAAAGGGCTCTTAGAACCAACCAGACAGTTATACGATAGCATGTAAATTGAGTTTTGATGGAAATTGAGTTTTGATCACACATTAGTAGAATGAGAATGTGGTTTCAACCCAAATCTTTGTATGAAATTAAACCAAGACCTCTACTTTGTGGCACTCTCTTCTAACACTATGGTCATTATAATATATAATCTCAATTCTTGTTTAGATACGTTCACTAATCATGCGTTTAACTGTACACTTTTCAAATCTCAAATGTATAATTCAAATTTCTTTTTTTAATTCTGATTGTATAAATTTATAAAATTCATAGTGTAGCATCTAAATATGCAAGTTTTAATTAATAAAAATTATTTAAATATTATTGAAAAGATTTAACTTTTTAATTAATCAATCATGATAAATTTGTATATAATCAGTCAATCATGGTAAACAAAAACATAAAGGAGCAATATAAAATCATTTTTATAATTTACAATAATTATAATAAACCCATTGCAAATAAACAAAATCAAATTAAGTATGTTTACTCACTTGTTATAGAAAATATATGTCAAAATTGGTGTATATAATCTTCAAGAAACTCTACTGAAGTAGATATAATGCATGTTGCAGTCTTGCAGAAGTAGATATTCATCACCAACCAATAGTCCAACACAGGGTATAACAAAAGTTAGGATTGAGAAACAAACGCATTTTTCATAAGCATGAACCATGAGGAAGATGTTTGACTGTAATTTTCTGGTCTGATTGTATTTAAATTTAGTATGTTAATATAAACTAGTTTGATCTATATGTGTTTAATAGTCTGGTTTATCCTGATCTGGTTAAATCTAATATGGGAATGAAACCAATCTAGTTAAAAACATTCTTAATGTAAAAAAGATGAAGATAAACTTATAAATTTAACCATGTTTGCCGAACTTTTCAACAATGATTTTAGCCATATTGAACGAAATAATAACTACAATTACAAAAGTTTTCAGTTGGTGCGCGAAGATTCCGATATTTGAGATGGAATTTCGACGATTTGTGTAAATTGCGACGGTGAAATCTAAGCTAGTATCCATCTTCAATCGATTTTTGTAGATAATAACAGAGTATAGACGACCTAGGATGCTAGTGAGCACCACCACTTCTGATAGTAGGAATCTAGGATATCACTAGGGGTGGGCACAAAAATCCGTAACCGGCTAAGCAAATAAAAAATCCGAAAAATCGATGTATTTTTCGGTTAACCGTATCTGATTTTTTAAATCTCACGGTATGGTTAACCAACCGCAAAGAAAAAACGGTACATGGTACGGTTGTGGTTTAAATTATGTTAACATCGGTTAACCGCTAACTGAAATTTTAAACAAAAACTAGTACATATTTTTTAATATGCGACGTGCTCCGATCCTTCACTGTTGCGGTGAAAATTATTTGGTTAGGGATGTTGCAGTTGTGTTTGGTTTGGCAGTTGTGGGTTGTGGCTGCTTATTTCAATAACTGGCTTGTTTGGTCTCTATATTGGATTGCCACGTAACCATGTGCTGGTCTCTACGAATTTAATAAAGATGGCTATTTTGCAATTTATATGTCTGAGATTCTTTCATCACTAATGGTTATGATGAAAAATGTGCCGTGGTCATGGAATCTTTTCAAACGATCCAAAGCTGAGTAGTTTCGTCGAGCATATATGTTATGTACAAAATTTAAAAAAAAGAAAAGAAAATTGTCATGGTTTATTGGTTAACCGTTAGCGATTGGTTAACCGTTAGTGGTTAACCTATACATTGGTTAACCGGCACTCGGTTAACCAATGTTATGGTATGGTTAACTGTATATAAAATTTAGTAACCGATAACACGGTTAACCGAATATTGGTTAATCGAAGTGCGGTTAACCGACCGTGCCCACCCCTAGATACCACGATGATTGGATTTAGTGAATCTCTATGTTTTAGATGGATGTGGTCTTGCACGAAAGAGAAGGATGAAGGAAGAAGAGAAAAATGAAGTTGAAGATGAACCACCACTATTAACCCTCAAAATTTTAAAAAATCAAAATCATTAACGCTTTTATGATATAAGCATGGTACAAGAGGTGTACAATATAATTAGGGTGTACCCGCTGTTGAGATAAATCCAACACGAAAATTGTAAATAATCACGACATAACTTTTTGCGCTAATGTCCAAGATTCAATCTTTTTATTAATTTCTCCTCACCATTTACATTGTACAAGAACTCCAATTAATATGGAGTTTTAGTTATTCTAGAGAGAAGGTTGTCTTGAAGAGGGGGGGGGGGGGGGGGGGGGGAGAATGAGGGATCCCCCAAAATGGAGCGAGCTCCTGTAAATTGAAAAGGGGGGAGGGGGTGCAAATCAACTCTAATGGGCCAAATGGGTCGAAATGGGTTGGATGGGCTGAAATAGGCCTCACTGATCGAGCTTCATACCGAAGTAATGTATTGAGCTTCCAGAATAGTAGCAGGTCACGATAATATATCCTAACATCCGCGTTGTTTACATGTTTTACCATGGTTACATAGCAAAGGTGACTGGAAAAACATGATGGAAGTTGTGTGTGAGACGTTGGAGTAGTTATTTTTTATATATAAATAGAACGTTGACATAGAGTCATGAGTGGAGAGTGATTAGAATGAATCCAACATACTTGTAAGAATGAAATTACAAAGAATTATCTCATAAAGATCTAAAGCAGAAAAAGTTATATTAACAAACAATTGAAATGTACAAGATTTATCAGCAAAACTCATCATAACATTAAATTCTTGGAATGTTAAGATCGAGTTAATTCATGAAGACGTCATTTTCACACGCCACATGGACAATTCCATACACTTTTTAAAAGAATTCTACATTGTTTTGACAAATTGACAGCGTACATAGATAACCAAGAGGCATGTACAAAAACATGAAACCACGAATATATGGCTTGCATGAATAGATTTTTCCATGGGAAAATTCTTTTTGTTCACGGCAGTTTGTATACAGACAATTTGACTGACGCTTTATGAAGAAAACGAATTTTCAATTGTCTGTGTACAAATAATTTAAATTGTCTGTGACACATAAAAAATAAATTTGCCAAATTGTCTGTACATAAAGTGTAACTCTTTTCCATGTGTGTAATACAAAGTACTCCCTCCCTCCCTGAAAATCCTTCCCAGGTACAATCAATATTATACGTAGTACTCCGTACCTAAATTTGTCTTAGCCTTGTAGAGAAAGTTCAGAAATGGATGTCACTTGTTTTAGCCTTGTAGAGAAAGTTCAGAAGTGGATGTCTATAAATTTGTTTCAGTTTTCCTAATATGATAAATGGTTTGCAAAACAGTTCTCACAATCTCACCTACTCCGTATATCATAAAAATGCTAGTGATAAATTCATACCTAGTACTTGGTATAATCATATCACAGAGTTAAGAAGGGAAAAGAAAGACTGCATCGAAAATGAAAGACTACATGGAAAAAGAAATTTAAAGAAATTTGAAAGGGATAACTTATCCCGGATAAGCATATCATAAATATGGAAGTCATAAATGCATATAACTCTGAATTTATTTCAGCTTCAACTCTTTAGCCATAAGGAGTATATACAGTACAGTAGTAAACAGTACAGTAGCAAACACTAAACAGTTCTTCTTTAGGACCTCTGGGAAAACCAGAAAAGAACAAAAAGCACTAATGAATACAAGTCTATAAGTATAACAATCCAAAAACGCAATCTTGGAAGAAGAGGCGTGAAACCACCACTAATGATTCAACAATTCAAACTTGAATCCACCCATTTCCAATAATGCTTCTTACATGAAATGGCTCCCTTTACAACTCCATTATCTTTAACACCATATTCTTCAACCTCTTCCGTGAAGAAATCTCCTTCCGGCAGACCTTCCACCGTGGCATCAACGGTGTGCAGAACATAGCAAGCGGGCAATCCCGGGTACGAAACGGAAACCCCCTCCTCCACCTTCTTCACATACGAATTCGGCACTATTCTCACAATCCCATCAATCTCGGAATCCTGGCTAATTATCGAGCCCAACTCTTCTTTAATTGCACGAAGAACGGCTTCTTCGACAGTCTCGCCGGATTTCATTTTCTCCGATAACGGTCGGCACCGATCCCGGACACTGCCATCAGACAATTCTTGGTGCGATTCGACAAGGACTCTGCTGTCTTTCCCGATGACCCGAACCACCACGACCTCTAGGGTCCGAATTGGAGGCGTGGAATCGGACAACGAGCTTTCGCCCTCGTAGATCTCAAGCCAGAGATTGTTAACGTTCTTTGTGCCTGGCTTTACACCCCAAGAAGCGAAGGAGTGCGGTGGCAAACGGGAATTCAGCCAATCGGAAAGGGACTGCGGATTTGGGAAGGGGGGGTTAGGGTTTCTGAGACGATTCGAATTGGGCGGAGAGGACATGGAGGAGATTTTAAGGAACTTACGCGGGAAAGAGATGAGCGGCGAGATTTTGTGGAGAATAATGTTAGCGGGGCTGGAAGTGGAGAAGACAATGAAGATGGAGAGAGCGGTGAAGATGAAGTCAGGGAGAAAGGTGGGCTTTCTATGAAGGTTGCGAAGCGGCGGTCCTGATGGCGGCTTTGGAGACATGAGATGGCAGAAATAGGCGGGGGAAACAGAAATTATCAAGTACTTAGAACTAAAAAGGTTTATACTATCCTCCGTATCACATTAATTGCAACATTGGAATATGTACATTATTCATGTATTTTACATTGACTACATTTTATTTATTAATGTATTTGAATTATTGTTTTTGAAAAATATTGTTAAATTCGTCTCATTACTAAGTTTTATAATCTGATTTTTATTTTTACTAATACATAATTAAATATAATGATGGTCAAAGTTGTGCGTTGGCAAACGTGAAATGTTGACTGTTGCAACTAAAAAGAGACGGAGGAAGTATATTTTAAAATAGAATTATCATGTTTTGACAGTATAAGACTTTAAAAATGACAGTAATCACTTCTATTTTGGGAACAAAAACACGTCAGTCCTATTTTGGATTTTTCAAACCTTTTTACTCATATTTCGGGAATTTGAAAATATACTCCTATTTAGAGTGGTGTTAGAGTCTAAATGTCAAAAATGGACTACGTCTATATCAAAACATTGTTTTGACTCCTATTTCTCTGCATTCCAACATCGTCAATAAAATACACTCTGCACATATTTTTACATATCAATTTAGTAAAATATTTATTAAATTATTATAAGTAATGTTTTTCTTTTAATTTTTTTCCTGAATAATTATGAAATAAAAAATACACATTTTGATATAAAAATAAATAAATTTCATTAATTTTTTAATGTTTTTTTTTGCGGTTATCAAAAAATGAACTTAGTTCAAGTAAAGTTCGATTATAAAATAATGAGTTATCTGTGGAAACTCAATAAATTAAAAATTTGTGTTTCATCGTTTTTTATACTAAAGAAATTTCAACAATTAAAACTTAAGAATTTTTGTTTCATTTTATATATTACATATTGGTGTCATATGAAAGATTATAATTTTTTATGAATTTTGATATATAATTTGAAAATTTTGGAGAACAAATAAAAATTTATACAAGTTTTTAAAAATTTGGGATATTATCATACAACGATGACATCAGCACGACATCGTCATGACATCACTTTGGCAAACAATTCCTGGTGAGCCGCCACTCTCCTTCCTTTTTTATTTTCCCCTCTTGCTTTGTGACGCTTCAAAAATACCCCTCTCCATCCTCTTCTCCATTTTTACTCCCTCATTTAATCTAGACCTCTACAAAAATGGGTTCAGGCCGGGTTCGGGCCGAGTTTTTTATAAATTTTCTGCTCATCATGTGTTGGTGGGCCCGGCCCGGTCCGTAAAAACGGGTCTAACCCTATGTCTATACCTGTCCATAAGAGCGGGCCGGACAATCCACCGGGCCTTCCGGCCCGAGAATACTTTAATTTTTTTCAAATTATATGTTTTTTTAAATACTTTAAAAATAATATTACAACATTTAGAAAATAATGAATACACTTATAATGTTTATACGTCTTTCACCATACACAAAAAAAAAATACTTACACAAAAATAATAATGAGAAACTATATCTAAAATTTAAAATTTAAGCACAAAGTATTATCTTTAAGTACAAAAATAGATATTATATTTGATAGAGTATATCTAGAGAGAAGTGAGAGCTAGAGAGAGAAGTGCAATAATATGCTTCAATAGAATGAATTTGTAACCCCTATAACTACTCCCAAGGGGAGTATTTATAGAGAAAATTAGGGCTGAGCTCCCAAGTCTTGGGCTTGGGAGGCCCATTTACAACTGGACCACTACTGGGCCGAATACAAAGCCACTAATGGGATGTACAAATGAATAAGTATAAAGTCCGGTTCTGGGAGGTCCTCGTGGCCGACGAGGGCGTGGCCGACGAGGGCACGGCCGACGAGGGCACCCGGGTTCCTTGGGCTCAGGACCATAATCTGAGTTGGCCCCCTTTCGGCCGACGGGGGCGTCTTGGCCGACGAGGGCGCCACTCTGTGTCTTGTGCTTTCTGTTCTTCCGAGTATGTGGGTCCGGGGGCTCAAACGAAGTGAGGGAGAGTAGATTCCCGTGCTTTAGTGCTTTTGGCCGATGCGGGCATTCCCGGGCCGTTAGCTATTGCGGCGTTGGCGTTGTTTCCTTTTTGGTGATCCTGTTCTGTGCTTTGGCCGTTACCTGTTCCTCGCTGTGGGCGGGGAGGCCGTTGTTTCCTTGATGTGTTCGTTTGAGGACGACAAGTGTCCTGCTTCAATGGTGGCCGTTGAAGGCACGCTTTCCCTTTCCTGGACGTTGATGGTTGAAGTTTATGTTTGGGCCGATGAGGCCACTGAGGTTGAACCTTGCTTTTGAGGACGATGGCGTCCTTTCCTTTGGGTGGCCGATGAGGGTGTTTGCGCACTCCTTTTGGCCGTCGCTGGTTGGCCTTCGTGTTCTTGGCCGAAGAGCCCATCATGATTAACTGTTGGCGGAGGACGATGAGTGTCCTTGCCTTAGGTGGCCCGTTGGCCGTTGCTGATGACGTTGTGTGCCTTTGGCCGACGAGGCGAAGTGTGATACATGGCCGATGTGGCCATGCTTTGTGGTTACCTTTTTTGCATTTTCTCTTTGTTTTGTTGAGGCCGGTGTAGTCCTCCAGTCGCCCACTGCTTCAGGCCGAAGAGTGTGAGGGGTGAAGGAGTTGCTTGAGTCCCTGGCCGAAGCGGCCTCTCCGTAGTCCCCCTGAATCCAACCCTAATGGCGATTTTCTGGCCAAGGTAACCCTGTGGGAGAACCCTTGTGCGCAGATCGCTTGTAGAGAGTTATCATCAAGGGTCATGACGAGGAGCCGATGGCTTGTGGGCTCTTGTTTCCTTTGGTCCTGTGGCCGTTACGTTCCTGGCCGTTGCCGTCTCCTTATTGTTTGGCAGTTGTGATCTTGGCGAGCAAGTGGGACGTTGTGGGGGCTTGCTGGCATTTGTAAAGCCGGTAAGCGTGTGGGCCGTAGAGTCTGATCCGGCATTGGGCTCTTGATATGTAGATTGGCCCGTTGGTGACGTGGTGGCCCCCCATTGGTGGCCGTTGGTGTGGCCATTGGGAGGGTGCCACGTGTAGTGACCGTTGGGTGGGGGGTTCTATAAATACCCCTCCCCCTCCGACGAGAAAACGTATTTGCATTCTGAATTTGTCGAAGTGCTGGCCGATTTTCTAGAGAGATAAACTCCCAAGCTTGTTCTTCGTGTTCTTCGTGTTCAAGGTTAGTGTTCATCGCGATCTTCCTCACTTTTCATACTTTGCTTCCTAGGCTAGTGATCTAGTGTTAGGTGTTTGAATACCCTTAGATCTTAAATTAATCTCCTTAGGCCCGTAGTAGTAGTTATGAAGAGCTTGAACGAAGATTACTACCCCTACGACGACCAGCCCTCCACGAGGTCACTTGACTACGAGGTGCTCGAGGAGTTCGAGGAGGAGATAGAGCATTTAAGTCCCTACAAATCCGAAGAGCCGGTGGACGAGGAAGGCGAGGACGAGGAGTCTGCCTCCTCTTCAAAAGGTGAGGACGTAGGTGCGACCCGAGTGGTGGACGGGGCGTCCACTTCTGCTGTCATTCCCTGCCCGAGGCAGGTGTCTGCCGTGAAGGGAGCAGTTAAGCCGAAGAGGGTGAGGAGGCCGAAGAGTGGGCCGGGCGTCCACTTCTGCTGTCATTCCCTGGATCTCACCAACATCTTTTTGATTAAGCCGGAGAGCAGCGCGGCCGACTATCTTGTTGCCCAGATGTATGTGGGGCCGTTTGGGCGGGTTAGGGCACCCAGGCCGACGAACCATGTTCTTCTTCCGCCCCCGGGATACTTTGGAGTATACCCGATGAGTTTTGCTAAGGGGTTGAGGTTCCCCCTTCACCCTTTCATCACTGAGTACCTGGACATGGTAGGGCTTCCTCCGGCCTTGCTGACGCCGAACAGTTATTCCTTGATGGTGGGCTTTTTACTCCGGTGTGAGGAGCTAGCTGGGCTACAGGCCGACAACGGCCCTATTCATGAATTTGTACCAGATCGGCCGAGGAGGCCACAATAACTGTGCGGCCTATGCTACTCTTCAACAAATGCCGAAGAAGAGGAGCTTCACGGACTTGCCTTCGTCCATTCATGGGTGGAAGAGCAAGTTCGTTTTTGTATCCCTGGGTGAGAGTGGCACCGAGTTTACCTCCCTCGGCCATACCGGGAGGTTCAATCTCCATGACCCGCCGAAGAGCTCTATCTTGGACGCTCAGGTGGAGGCTTTCCTGGAAGGGGGGCCGAGGAGCGTAAAGGACTACATTACTGAATACAAGATGACCGCTCTCGGCTTCTTTAGATACCATGTGTATGGTGATAAGGAGGATGACCTCCAACTCTGGCCGAGGATGACCACCACCTTTGAAGAGGCCGACGGCCCGGACTTGGGCATTCCTGCTGAGGCCGATGGTAATGATTTCTTCGGCTTTCTGTCTTTATGTTTTGTTCCTTTGCCTTACTGATCTGTTGTGTTTTTCCTTTGTAGATTTTGCGATGGATCGTCGTTCCATAATGGCTATTGCCAAGGCCAAAGCGGCCGAGGAGTTGGATGCTAAGGCGGCCGAGGAGGCCAGACGTGCCGCGGCCGATGGGAGTGGGGCTACTACTGGTGCGGCCCCAAAGCCTGCCCCATCGAAGAAGAAGAGGCCGGCTACTGACGGCCAGAAAAAATTAACCGAAGTCGGCCTGAACGTCTCCAAGAAGACGAAGAGGGCACCGTCTCCTTCTCCGGCTACCGAGGCCGGTACTCTGACTGTCCCGAGCGTGGACGGTGGTGGTCCCGTCGTGGACCTTACTGTTGCTGGCGATGCTGCCCCATCGCTTCCTCTCGTCCAGGAACCACGGACGAAGAGGGCCGGCAAGGAGATTGCCGGTGCTACCTACCAGAAAATGGTAGAATACCCCGTCGGCGGGGGTGTGTTCGATGATGTCGTCCTTGGCCACGACGTCCTGGCCCAGGCCATGCCGGCCAAGGATCGGGCTTACTTGAAGAAGCTCGGGGACGTGAAGATTTACGAGGGCGGCATGGACCTCCTTGTCCAAGTAAGTTACTTTCCTTCGTATGTGTCGTTTTTTCTCGTCGTCCGTGTAGAGTCGTTTGCCTGAATTGTTTTCCT